TCTCTCTCTCTCTCTCTCTCTCTCTCTCTCTCTCTCTCTCTCTCTCTCCTCTCACTCTCTCTTTAGAAAAAAAAAAAAAAGAAAAAATTCACTGTCCTCTGACCCAATGTGTCCTACCATAGAACTGGAGGTCTTAGGCAATTTCCCTTTTTCGGCTACATTCTGTCTTGTACACAACACAAAAGCTTCTTGTTTATAGTGTCTAGCTTCTAGAATGACACCAGCGGTCCCCGTGCCTTGGTATTGACACCTGGTACAGTCCCTCCCACACTGGATCGGGTTAAACCGGGTTATACTGCAGGACCTCTATGGAAGTGATGTGAGCCTGGGTCATGAAAGACATCAGAGCTTCCCTCTTACTTTGTCTGAGCCTACTCACTCAGGGAGGAAGTTGGCCCCATGCCCACATGGAAAGATACTAGGCCTCCTGCGATCAGCCACCAAGCCTACAAGTTTCTTTAGGTCCTCAGTAAATAGTCTACCATCAAGAACGAGGAACGGTGGCACACACCTGTAGTCCCAGCACTTGTGGAGCTGAGGTGGGAGGATCTTCTGAGCTTAGGAGGTCCAGGCCAGCCTGGGCAAGACAGTGAGACTACAATTAAAACATTCAGTGCTGACTGTATAGTTTAGGTCTACGTGAGATGAAGGTGATACCAAAGGCCCCCAAAAGAGTGAATGAAGGCTTCAAAACAAACTAAGTTTCTGGGTTTTATTTTATATATATATTTTAGTTGGACACAATATCTTTTATTCATTTTTATGTGGTGCTGAGGATCGAACCTGGGGTCTCGCACATGCTAGGTGAGTGCTCTACCCTTGACCCACAACCCCAGCCCCSGGTTTTTATATTCTTGATGAGCCCCTGTGGCTCTGCTGTGGACAGGAGGTCAGTGTGTGCTGAGAATGTGCTGACTAATCCTTGCTGGACAGTGAAACTCCATTAGCTCAGAGTCACAGTTACCTTAGATGGTGAATCTGTAAGTCTGAAAACTGGAGCCAAGACCCTTCATGACACTGCCTTTAGGATCACACCATAGAGTGATCCTAGAGCGGGYGTGCTAAAGGTAAGAGGCTGTCTCTTTTTAGGAGAGTGAAGAGGAGCTGCAAGCACTTGCTGGCTCTCTTGTCATGTGTAGGCTACCAAAGCACAAGCAAGAGTAATCATTTCTGAGCTTGTCCTCAGTGCAGGAGCCTGGGACACCTAGACTGGTCTGGGTTGTGTTTCTTCAGGGAGGAGCATGGCACCAAATCTTTACAAGGTGTTATTTTATTAAAGCACTAATACTTTGCTGTGGTACCTCATTTCAAAGAAGAAAATCTGATACAATATTCCTAATGGTATAATTTAGAACTCCTGAGGGGGAAATTAAGCAGATATTTTTAGTCAAGGTGTCACTATTTTTGTTCCACAAATCCCATTATGTTGGAAACAGCATACCTCTAATAAGCCGTTTCTTATAGAATGAAGTGCACTCTTTTCCATAGTTGGTAAAGTTCAATCTTAATTGAGTTCTTTCTGAATTTCATTAAGGTCATGGTTTTCAAAGAATTTCTGGGGGCGTAGCTCAGTGATAGTGTGCTTAGTGTGTACAAGGTCCTGGGCTCAATCTTCAGGAAGAAAAAGTTTGTGGATTACCCTTCCTATTCCGTGGCCATACCAAGTTGCAGAGAAAATTGAACTAGCAGAGTCTTCTTCCTCCAGGACACATGGCTGCTGTTTTTGGCTCATCCCACTAAGACCTGGCAGTTTCATGCACACAGTGTTGTAAGATTTGTTCTACATGTGTTCCAGGTACTCCAATTCTGTTTCACAGGTGCTGAGGCTAGAAGCTTCACGTTCTCCCTCAACATCTGTTCCATCCTATTTTTATGACATTTTAAGAGTGTTTTTTGTTTTTTGTTTTTATGGGCAAAAGTTTAAAATAGACATTTCTCCAAATAAGATGGAAGAATGGCCAATAAGCAAGCCGCTCAATATCATTTATCACCTGGGGAAGGGAAATCAAAATCACAAGATCCACTTTATACTCAGTAGGTAGGCTGTAATAAAAAAAGACCTACTAACAAATAGGTGGAGAAAATGGAACCCTCAKATGCTSCTGGTGGGAATGTAAATTAGTGCCACCAATTTGGTGAAATCAGGCAGTTTCTTTGCAGTGCTGGGCATCAAACCCAGGTCTCCTGTATGCTAGGCAAGCACTCCACCATTAAGCCACATCCCCACCCCCTTCTCAAACCATTAAAAACAGTTAACATATGACCTAATATTTACATCCTTAGATATATACTCCTAAAGGAACTAAAAACATGTACATAGCTAAAAAGAAACAACCTAAAAGTCCATCAACTGATGGATAATATTATTCAACAATAAAAAAGCAATTAAGTATTKATACATGGTACAACATGGAAACTTTCTGCTAGTCAAAAAAGACCAGATACTGAAAGTCTCCATTTATATGAAACTTTAAAAAATGTAAATCTATAGAAACAACATAAATTAGTGGTTGCCTAGGGCTGGAAGAGAGGAAAGAGAATAACTGCTAGTGGGTGTGGGTTGTCTTCCTGGGGAGGATAATATAATGGTTGCAAAAGTGTGACTATACTAAAAACCATTAGATCATATACTTTAAATAGGGGAGTGGTATGTGACTATTTCAGTAAAGCTAATATTTAAAAAATAAGTTTTCATCCATGAAAATAATTACGAATACAAATTAGGGCCCAGTCAAGAACGAGCCCGTGTTTACACACAGGTTTCTCTTTTTAAAATCAATGTCATAGGGGCTGGGGATGTGGCTCAAGTGGTAGCGCTCGCCTAGCCTAGCCTGCGGGCGTGCGGCCCAGGTTCGATCCTCAGCACCACATACCAACAAAGATGTTGTGTCCTCCGAGAACTAAGAAAAAATAAATATTCTTAGAACTAAGAAAAAATAAATATCAAAATTCTCTCTCCCTCTCTCTTTAAAAAAAAAATCAATGTCATAAATTATGTGAAATCTTCAGTTTTACCCATTTCCACACAGCTATATGATAGTGAAAATAAATCAGCATAACAACACTAGCACTGCAAGCTGTGACCTTTCAAAGTTAGAAACACTTTGGAAACCCTAGAAATCTCATCCTTGGTTTTGGRTAATTTATATTGAGGGCTCCAATTTATATTGAACCCAATTGAGGTTCCAGTTATACCTTTGGCTCACGGGTTAAAAACAGAGTTATCACAATTATTATGTTTTGATTTCACATTCAGCAGTACTCCTAGGACGGGACCAGCGCGGCAGGCGCGGGCTGTGCTCCCTCCAGCTCCTGCGCTCTGGGCGAGGCGCTGACACTCAGTGGCCCAGGACCCGGGACCGACCCCGCYACACCCGCTTCACCCTGCGGACCTAAGGGTAGGGTGGGGGCTGAGGTCGGGGGATCCTAGCGGCAATGTTCTGACTRCAGGGCACCCAGGGCCAACTTCCCCGCGAGGTCACAGCAGCAGCGGCGACTGTGACCTTGCGCCCTCCGGTGCGCGCACGTGGGCCGCGGAGCGAGGCACCAACGCGGCCACTTTCCGCTGCACTGTTCAAACTGCAGCACTGGAAATGAATTCTCGGTTCCCGCCGCAAATTACCACGGCGCACAACCGCACAAGGACCACAGACGCTCTMAGTGAAGCGGGGACGTGCCGTGGCCTCCCAAGTACACGCCCCATCTCCTYTCCGCTCCTCCCTACCCTCCCGGCTCCCAGCTCAGCTCCGCCCAGACCCGACCCATGCCCCGCCCAAGGCTTCGCGGAGGGCGAGAAGCCGGGAGAGCGGCTGCATCCGGGTGCTTTGTGGGGCGGGGATGGGGCGTGGTTTGTGGCGTCAGGGGAGGGGCGAGCAGCCTACTCGAGGACTGGGACGCCCTGACGGAGCTACGGGGGGCGTGACCGGAGCCCTTCCACGCCCCATGGAGATTCCATGTCGGCGAAGAGGGGCGTTTCTCTTTTCAAATTCGCTTTGGAGGGAGGCGCTCCAGTTTATAACCTTTATTATTTATTCTKCTCTCGTTTTTTCTTCCCCGATTCTTGAGAGAGCCCTGCGCGCCTCCTGGCTTCCGGTCCTCCCCCCCTCGTTCTCGCGCAGGTGGTGCAATCCGCCGGCGCGCAGCCGCAGAGGGCGCGGGGCGGTGCCGGTGCGGGCGGGTGACGCAGCGGCCGTCGCTGCCATTTTAAGTTGTTTGTTCTTGCTGCTCTCCTCAAACGCGACTCTGCGCCGGACCGGGAGGCGCTAGACGCTGCTGCCGCTCCCGCAGCCACCGGTGGGGACGAGGCTGTGCTGCCGCGGACGCGCACCCGCCTTCCGGCGCCCGCTCTCGGGTCCGCTCGGCCTCTCCGGAGCCGCCAGCGACTGTGGGGGGAAGGACTTGCGATCCGATGCTCGAACTGAAATAACTTTGCGGGGCTCGCTTCGCGGACAGACCTTAGCGCAGGGCTCCCCTCTCCTCCTCCCGCCGCCCTCCCTTCGCCGCCGGCGCGCCGAGCAGACTATGGGTCCCAGGCGGGGGCCGAGCGGCGGCAGCAGCGCGGGCGGCCGGGCCTCCGAGCGCTGCGCAGCGGGCATGGAGGGGCGCAGCTGGCTGGTGGTGTTCTCTTGACATGGCTCCCGCCCGCGCCGCGAGCAGCGCCCCCGCCGCCGCCGCCGCCTCCGCCGCCGCCGCCGCTCCGCCCGCAGGCTGCGGCTAGAGGCCGCGCCCGCCCCGCCGGCCGAGCCCCTGCCGCGGGCACGGTCGCCCGCCCGCCCGAGACCGCCCGCGACCCGCCCTGCCACGCACACCCGCCAACATGGTCTGCTGAGCGCGAAGGCGGCCCGACCGGGAGCTCGATTTTCGTGGGGGGTGGGGGGTGGGCCTACTTCACAAAGTCACTGCTATTAACACGATTATCTTCTTTTCTTCCCACTGACCCTCCCCACTTACCCTCTCCCGCCTACTCTACCCGGGCGGGAGTTGTTTCCACGATGAAATGAGTGAGAACCCGAGTGCTCCTGTGTCTCCCGTGGTGCGAGTGAGTCGCTGCCGCTGAAGGCAAGGGCGGGGGCGGGACCTGGGGGGTGGACGGCAGGTGGTCCCCGGGCGCCGCCCGGGATTTGGGAGAGCCCGCCACCTTGGCCTCAGCCATGCTCTCGAGAAGATAGGTCGCACTCCCCCATCCCGAACGGGGCGCACGCTCAGGGAGGCTCCCTGGGGGATGTAGGACTCGGGCGCAGGGCTGAGCGCGTTGGGGTCCCGGGCATCGACCAGGTCTGACCGCAGAGCCGGAGCAGTTGTTGTCCTGCAGTACACCCCCTTTCCCTCTGCCATCATGGTTCTCCTTGGCAGCAGCACTAGCAGCCGCCTGAGGGTGAAAATGTGGGTGATGGGGAAGTTGGTAATGACTCCGCTGTTTTTTCTCATGGCTCCTTTGGGCAACAGCTGTCCGCCCCCGGTGTACACTGTAGTTGATTGCAGGGAAACTCTGTACCTCTCCCCTTCTTTCTCTACTGATTTTGCACTTTTCTCTTTGCTCACCACCAAGTGTAATCAATAACAAGCACTGACGATACATAGCAATAGTGAAATCTGAAATAACTAAGAACTAATTAGGTACTACAGCCATGGATCTGGCTGGGTAAAATCCAATTGGATATTTCAGTTTCATTCACCTACCCTGTTTTGGTGTTTTTTTTTTTTTTGTTGTTTGTTTGTTTTGGTATTTGAAAAACAAGGATCACACTTTCTCCCTCCCCATTCCTTTTCTTAATCCCTTTTCTAAAAGGGGAAAATTCGAATGGGTTTCAAGGATTGGACTGGTGTCAGCTGTGTTTTACTGCACACCTAAATCCTGATAATAGGCTTTTCATTTCCCCTCAAAGCCTTTATTTTAGCAGTGAAGCCAAATGTGTTTTCCAGAAAGTTAGTTCAAATACTTTCTCCTCTTTCTTATTCCCCTTCCYTTTTCCCATCAATCCCCAAACATTATTGTCCAGACATGACTGGACAGCAGCTTTTGTTTCTTGACCCTGTAATATGACAGTCTGCTAATATTGCCAGAAGGTGCAGTTTTGGGGTTACAGTCGTGATTTTAGCTATTCAATCATATTAGCAGGAAAAAAAAATGACTTGTTTCTGTTGTACTTGAGTCTTAAGAAAAAGTGCCCATAGTTTAGTGACAATTTCCAAAGGCTTTAGTACCACCTGTATTTCAAAATGGGGGACCCAAACTCCCGGAAGAAACAAGCGCTGAACAGACTTCGTGCTCAGCTTAGAAAGAAAAAAGAATCTCTAGCTGACCAGTTTGACTTCAAGATGTATATTGCCTTTGTGTTCAAGGAGAAGGTAATTTAAAGTTCTTAATGTGAATTAGCACAAGTGATTATTGTAAGTGTATATTAGTTGTTACTCTTAAATAATTTATGAATATCAGTTCAAAGAGTGGTTGGAGAAAATTATTTTGTATGCTTTGTTTTTTACCCTTATGGCTGTTTCTGCTATTGGAGCAGTTGTGGTAAAATTATCAATGGAAGGGCCTGAAGTATTAATTGGTTTGGATATGCTTACTTCTAAAGCTTAGTAGTATCCACTTAGTTGACACAGACTGTGTAACATTGTAAAATCTTATGTGGAGCAACACAGGGAACTTTAGAACTAAATTTATCTAATGTAAAATAGGATGTTTGAAAGTGTTAAGTTGGAATCAATGTTCATATTCTAAAGTTAGCCTGTTTCTTTATTCATGGTTCATTTAATGAATTAGAATATAGACTTTAATTTTAAAATTAGCTAAATATTGAAAATGGTTAGTTTGTGTTTTAAAGTGTTTATTTTTTAAATTCAAAATGACATGAAGTTTAATTTTTTTTGTCTTATTCGATTAGTTTCACAGCTAAATAGTAAATGATGAGGTTTAGCTGGTCAAGGTGAAAGTGATGGAAGCACAATTTTTTTTGGCACCTTAAAGAACAGTTTCTTAAATTATCAACAAAGCTATTTGATGAGAGATTAGGTTATGAATGTAAAGAAGTGCTGCTTTGATTTCTTTCTTTTTTTTTCTCACTTTAAATGATGAACTAGTTTCAAATCAGAAAAGCATTTGTGTGGCATTGAGTATTTGGAAGTTTTATGAATTGTTACTGTACTCTTAACTCTGAAAGCTATTGGTATTTAAGAACACAATTACTGGAGTGATAAATAGCATTGCAAAGTGGTTTCAAAGTAATTTGCTTCGAAGTACTGAGAACTTATTTCCTCTTGTGCTTTTTATTTTTAACAAGTGGACTGCAGAATTCAAAAGACCAGATATTAATTGGAGATGCTATACGTAGCTTCTCTAAATCCAAGTGGTGACACTAGATCTTTGAATCATCTGTTTTAATTTTTGTGAAGATATGCTTATATTCTATGAATAGATGTTCATACAATTGCCTTGAATAGTTCATGACCTATACTTCAATAGTGAAGAACTTTATAAACTAGTTGGTGATGAGCACTTGATCTTGACTAACATTGAAACATAATTTGGTGTACATTTTCTTCTTCAAATATTGATATTTGAGGTTATATAATATTCAGAAAGAATAGTAAAATTGACCCATTTAAAAGATGAAAATATTTGAATGGCTGCTTTTAAATTTAGCTGCTTATAGAATCTTAAGTGAAATTATACCAAGACATGTAATTGTATTTTTTTTAAACTTTAGAGTTGTGTGTTTCTCATAGTATTTAAAAATTACTAAACTAAGTACTTGTTATGAAAACCATAATACTAAAAAAATGAGAAGCAAAGCTGAAAAATAAAGATACTTAACATTATGAGCTGGGTGTTTAAAGACTGTACTCCCCATGGGTTAATACCTTTTTTTTTTTCTTTTAGAAGAAAAAATCAGCACTTTTTGAAGTGTCTGAGGTTATACCAGTCATGACAAATAATTATGAAGAAAATATCCTGAAAGGTGTGCGAGATTCCAGCTATTCCTTGGAAAGTTCCATAGAGCTTTTACAAAAGGATGTGGTACAGCTCCATGCTCCTCGTTACCAGTCTATGAGAAGGGTGAGTTCTGTTGTCAAGTTGTGACCTAGTGGGTGAGGTAAGGTTTGTGAGTTAAACTTGCATTTTTCCCCCCTGAAAATGGGTAGTGACTATTGTGATGGATTTCTTCTTTTTACCAAGTATGTTTTTTTAGTAAAAGTATTTCTTATAATTATGAATTGTAATAAGTATAACTTAAAAGCAATTGACTAGATGTGCATGCATAAAATCAAAGGGCCAAGAGAAAAAAGAGAAAAGAATAATACCATCTATAGGTTTACTACAATTAATTTATTCTTTCACATATAGTTTATAAGAACATATATAAAAACTATATGATAAACACTGAATATATTAATATAAAACAGCTTGACAATAGGGGAAAGGGATAAAAGTGAATAATAAATTAACCAAACAAGACAAAGTTCAGGTAATGTCAATGATGACAGTCCAGCATGAGTTGAAGATGCTTTAAATCTAGTCCAAGTTGACTTCAGATAAAAGATGAATAACTGCTTATGTGGTATTATGCTGTTCAGGGTGTACACGGTTATTGAGAAGAATACTGTTTTGGGTTTCTCTTAAATAGGAAATTTAGTAGTTCTCCTGCCAACCTTCTAAACTTGGGTAATACAATGAAAGTTAATCTGAGCATACTTTAGCAAGAGATACCCACAATTAGTTGGGGTGTGGGAATGGTAGAGATTAGAGATAACCTGTAAGAGGTTCTTGGGCCTTTGAGAGTACATATACTGGCTATGATAATGGAGAATAGGCATGGAGATGGAAACAACAGCTGTGTCAATGGAGAGTAGGAGCAGGAATGAAGAAAAGTGGTTCGCTGTCAAACCTAACAAAAAAAATAGCATTTTAACTGATTAATATTAGGAGTTTGAAGATACCTTTGTTAAATGGGTTTATGTCATGCACTGCTGAATCTGGGACTTTATATGAGGAACATTGAACTGAATGTGTGGACAACACAAGATAAAAATTGAAATTGGGTCATGAGCTATCTATTCAGATTGTGTAGGCCTATTACTGTTATCTCTTAAGATATAAAATGGTATGATAGGCCTTTTGTACAGTGTTTTTGTAGTCAAACTTATAATTGTTGCTTGTTACGGTTTTGTTTCTTTTAAAAGAAAAAAAATTGTTATTTTATAGGATGTAATTGGCTGTACTCAGGAGATGGATTTCATTCTTTGGCCTCGGAATGATATTGAGAAAATTGTCTGTCTCCTGTTTTCCAGATGGAAGGAATCTGATGAGCCTTTTAGGCCTGTTCAGGTATTTTATTCTAAAATTAACAAGTTAAAACTGTTGAGTAAGGTCTGACTTGAGAAATTCTTTGCGTATATACTTCCTAATAGTTTTATTTCATGAGTCCTTCCTGTTCTTTTGACTATTATGATGTAAGAGAAGGAAAGTATTTGAAGTTTTGGACCCTTTGAGATTGAGGTTATTTTGTCTAATATATCTTTGAAATTGTGGACAGAGAAAGTCTTCCTCTCCATGGTACTGAGGTTTGAACACAGGCATACATTACCACTGAGTTACACCCCTTGCCCTTATTTTTTGAGACAAGGTCTCACTTAGTGGCCAAGGCTGACCTCAAATTCTCCTGCCTCAGCCCCTTGAATTTCTGGGATTATTGGCATTTGCCACCATGTCTGGACAGAGAAAATCTTTTAAGGTAGACATTTTATTTACAGAGGGAGCTGATGGATGAGCTTCAGAATATCTGACCCGCATCGTGCATACTCCTAAAATGGGTTTTTAAAAAAAAGTGTTCTAGAAACTGATGTGTATCTGAAACTATACAGGAGAGAAATAAGTTTAGTATTGTTTTTGGTGTTAGAAGTTGAAACAGGGCCCTAATTCATGTATTCTACACTCCTTGCCCCCTAGTATTAGGTTTTAATTGACCTTAACATTGTGCTGACTTCTGTCATTTGGTGTATTAGACAATTTCTAATGTTAGTTCAAGACACTTATGTGTTGGTCCTACTTTCTTGTAGACATAGAAAGTCTGCAAAAATATTAATTATGATTTGTGGTAAACCAGGTGGGTACATCTCCATAATTTTCTACAGTGAGCATGCTTTCACAGTCAAAGAATGGCATTTCAGGAACCATTTTAAGTATACTAAACTTAATAGTGGAAGGTTTATTCTAAAAGCTGAATATTTAGGAATATGAAAATTATTTTGTCACTTTAAAATATTTGTGTCTTTGTAGTGCTTTTGTGTGTGAATAGACTGTAGAAGTTGTTATACTCATCTACTTCCATGATAATATAACTATACATCTAAGATTCATTTCATAATAATTTTTATAGATAGGTCATAGTTTAAGTATGGTAACAAATATCATATTTAGTTGTTTTTAATAGATAGTATCTGAGTGAGATGAATATGCTAGAGAATATAAGTTGAATATAAAAAGGATGAGAATCAGAATAGAGAAGGAATGTGTGTAGTTGCAGAGCAGTGTGCCTCAATTCTAACCGCTCGTCAGAGGTGTTGGTAGGGTTTTTGTTTTTTATTCTTCCTCGAGGTGTGGGCAGTTGAACCCAGGGCCTTCCTTGCACATGGTAGGCAAGCATGCAACCACCAAGCCATATTCCCAGGCCAGTTTTTGTTCTTTAGTTCTTGATTTCCGATTGGAAGAAAGGAAGGTCTCCTTATTGTGCACAGTGTTTTTTCTTTTTGATTTTTGTAATGCTCGCAATCCAGCCTAGGGGCTTTGCATATGTAAGGCAAGTGCTCTACCTCTGAGCTGCATGCCCAGCCCATCACAGTACCTCTGAAAGATATCTAATTTATCTTTTTTGGTGGGGGGATTGGGGGTGGTATCAGGGATTGAACCCAGGAGTGCTTAATCACTGAGCCACATTCCCAGCCATTTTTACCTTTTATTTTTTGGGACAAGGTCTCACTAAGTTGAACTCCCAAATATTTTTTTATCTGGAATGGTTGAATTTGCAGACATGGAAATTCATGAATACAGAGGGTGGGCTGTATGTGAATATCTAGAAAGGAAGGCCTTAAATATAAATACTTAGTTCTTCAGGAAATGCAAAAAGGAACAACTTTTTACACTTCAGTATTATTTACAGAGATCATCAAAGGTTTCATAGTTTCTTGAATTCTCCATTTGGTCTTTTTCACTCATCATTTGTCCCTTCTTGTTGCCCAGATACATTTTGTGGAAGGATGAAGTTTTTTCTTCCTCACATTAAGATTGAAAGAATATTCTTAATGAATTTTTTTTTTTTTTTTTGGTGGTGCTGGGAATTGAACCCAGGACCCTGTGCATGTGAGGCAAGCACTCTACCAGCCTGGTAGAGTGTTTGCCTAGCATTCATGAAGTCCTGGTTTCCATTCCCAGTACCAAGTGAAAAAATATTGAAGGGGTTTATACACCCTCAGAAGTCCATCTGTGTGAGAAGTGGAAGTGTATTTCACACCTGGGCATCACATTTCAGTTAACGCTCCTTGACTGTCTTTGAGTAAAATGGGTTAGAGCCTTACAAATGAGGAAACAGAAGTTTAGAATACTTAGAAACAGTTACATAACTGCTGAGATACACAGCTGGGATAGAAAGACAGATTTTTTTTCTTTCCCTTTTTTTTTTTTTTTTTGTAGTGGGGATTAAACCCAGGGAAGCTTTACCACTGGGCCACATCCCCTAACCCTTTTTATTTTTTGAGGTGTTGTCTCACTAAATTTTTTAGGGCCTTGCTTTTTTGCCGAGGCTGGGCTTGAACTTGTAATCCTAAGAGCAATTAGAGTTTGTCTCCCAAGGGTCATTGGAGTTTAAAGTACTGTGGTGTGAGCCTTGGGCCAAGTAGGTTTGCAAGTAAGATTTTTATGAAACCTCGCTTTAAGATCGTTATTAGGATTTAGTCATGTTGATGCAGAGCTTCTTTGAAGATCAAATTATATAATAGTACTGTCCAGTAGAACTTTCTACATTGAAGGAAATGTCTTTTGTCTGAGATTGTTCAAAGTAGTGGCCAGTAGCCAAATGTGGCTAATATATCTTAGTTTAAGTAGCCATGTGTGGCTGTTGGCTATATATTGGACAGCACAGGTATGTGGGAATGAGTTCAGCAAGTGTTTCAGATAGTCTTAACATTTGTAGTTACATAAACATTTGTATGGACCCTCATTGTTATACAAAATTACATATAAGAGGAAGTGAGGGAAAAGGGAAAAGAAAAACAAGAGAAATGAATTACAGTAGATGGGGTAGAGAGAGAAGATGGGAGGGGAGGGGAGGGGGGATAGTAGAGGATAGGAAGGGCAGCAGAATACAACAGACACTAGTATGGCAGTATGTAAAAACGTGGATGTGTAACCGATGTGATTCTGCAGTCTGTATACGGGGTAAAAATGGGAGTTCATAACCCACTTGAATCAAGTGTGTGAAATATGATATGTCAAGAGCTTTGTAATGTTTTGAACAACTAATAAAAAATAAATAAAAAAATAAACATTTGTATGTTTTAACTAGGCCAAATTTGAGTTTCATCACGGTGACTATGAGAAACAGTTTCTGCATGTACTGAGCCGCAAGGACAAGACTGGAATTGTTGTCAACAATCCCAACCAGTCAATGTTTCTCTTCATTGACAGACAGCACTTGCAGGTAAGGTAATTTGAGAACAACTTTGGAACTCATGAAAGGCTTTGTTGGTTATTAAAACTGTTTTCTAAATAAGATACTTAATTGCTTTGCCATCTCAACACTGCCTTGTTTTTGAAGTTATTTTAAAAACAAGAAACAAATACTGTACTACTTATTCTAGAAGTTCCTAAATTGTGCTGTATATTAGAACTTCCTGGTGAACTATTTTGAAAGTTCTTACGCAAAGATCAATGTAGGGTATATGGTCAACAGGTGAGTATTACCTAGGAACTTATTAAAATATAGACTCTCAGTCCCTACTCTACTCCTGCTTAATCAGAATCTGCATTTTCAAGTGATTCCTAACACTATTTTGAGAAGTACTGATGATGTAGGCCTTTTAAAATAAAGATCTAAAAGGATGAGGTACATTCTATATTAAAAAAATTAGTGCAAGAGAAAAAGAAAAGATAAACTGTGGCTCAAATTTTTAAGGTAGGGCACTAGAGAAGACATAATGGAGAAGGTGATGTAAGTAAAGTATGTTTTAGTACTCATTACATTGCAGACCATATGTTTATGTAAGAGAGAATGTGTGCAAACTGAAAAATACAATGTCAAATCACAGCATGTCTCTGAGGAGCTAACAGGCTGCTTGGGAAGATTCAATATGTGCTTTTTAGCTTACAGAACATCAAGTAAGTATATGGTACAGGAGCAAATCAAAGAACTGGGAATTAAAAGGAAAGTTAATATTGGTGGACGCTTGACTCTTTTATTTTTCCTTTTTTATTGTTTATGTGTCCTTTAAATTATTTGTTGAGGAAGTCTTCTGTATAGCAGGCAGTTTTGCTAGTTTTATTCAGTTTTAAAAGTTCCTGAATTATAGTGGACTCTAAAGCACAGATTTTTCTCACAGAAGCTGTAATAGCTAGTATAGAGGAACCAAACTTCATTTTCATGTGAATGTATTAAGAAAAATTAGCACTATACAGCCATGACTTTGGGATGCTACTTATTATAATAAATTATTTCCTGTTAGGAGTCAAGGACACATCTTTTCTATGAATTAAGCAGCTTGAATCCTGATGAAAAATTTAACTTTATAAACCAAATTTGGGTTGTAGGTAGGTGACTGTCTCGTATTGCATAGAGTATCCCAGTATAGTACTGAAAGTCTCAAGTCCTGGAAACTCTTCAGTCCCAGGAAACGGGAATGGTTGTCAACAAACTTGGTCTTTGATGCTCTTAGTCCTCTTCCTCCATTCAGATTCTGTTCTTGATCTTCATAAGCTGAACATGTGTGTGGCCACATTTGCCTTTTAGAAGAATTAACTACAGCATTAATTTGTAAAGGAAATTGAAACGATAGTGGCCCAAAACACTTTGTGCCCAGCTCTACACTAAGAGCTGTACATGGATGAACTCATTTAACTCTCGATAATCCTGAGAATATCGGTATTAACTCCCCTAATTATAGCTAAGGAAATAAATCAAATAAATTGATCAAAATCATCTTGCTTGTGCATTTTTTTCATAAGTAACAAGGGTTAACCAAAGGATAATCTTGGATGGCCAGGTGATAGAAAGGTACAGGCCTAGAGTTGGAGGATTCTTTTTATTCCTTTTTGTAATTAATTTATTTTGCAGTAGAATGCATTTTGACATAGTGCACAAATGGAGCACAACTTCTCATTCCTTGGAGTTGGTGGATTCTTAGAGCAGCCACTTGCTGGCTATGTGATTTTGGACAAATAAACTTATGTGAACATGTTCTTTCGGTTGAGCAAATAATTTTCATAAGCTTCCTGTGAGCTTCATAATTAACTGAGGGACCAGAGTGTAGCTCTGCAGTGCTCATTAGTATACACAAGGCCCCGTTTCCAATCCCTAGCACCTCAAAAGATCTACAAAATGAACTAGTTTATATACATATAATACATTCATTGACATAAATAGACTGCCTCATGAGCAAGTCGGTCTTAGATGCTTCAGTAAAAAGATGAACTTTGCAATCAGTTTTATTTAGATCCTATCTTCCATTTACTGGCCATAGTTAGCCAGTAAATGGCTTCAGCCAGTTTTACTAGTTGGCCATAGTTACTGGCTTTCTAGCACATAGTACATGTTATCCATAAGTTAGATGATTGAGTGGTAAATACTATTAAAAAAAAGAAAAGAGTTTGATTTACTTGGTCACACTTTGGCTTTCCGGTCCCTAACCTCAGAGGATATGCTTAGAGCTTAACCCATGTCTAATTATCTCCCTGGCTTCAACTCCTCCTGACTCCCTATACACAAAAACATGACTAGAAGTCTGATCTGTTTCCATGAAATGCCTTTAACATTAATTTCTTTTAGCAAGCAGCCTTTGGTTGACTTAATAACTTTATAATTTAATTCTGCATAAATTTTCTATGCATTTAGTTTACAATAATCTTTACTTTTTTTTTTTTTTTTGGTGCCTTGTATGGAAAGATGATCTCCCTTACTAGATTGCTAGACTAGCTAAAATGGTAATTTATCACTTATTCTGAAGGCTTTTACTGTGCCATAGGTTCTCCCTAAATTTAACCTTCAAATAATAATTAGATACAAGTCTTACTAAAAATATTAAAAAATTTTTCCTTCCTAGACTCCAAAAAACAAAGCTACAATCTTCAAGTTATGCAGCATCTGCCTCTACCTGCCACAGGAACAGCTCACCCATTGGGCAGTTGGCACCATAGAGGATCACCTCCGTCCTTACATGCCAGAATAAAGGGCCGACCAGCAAAATGAAGAAGATTAGAGAATGCAGCAGCAATTGTTTTTCTTGTTTTCTTACCACTTTATTTTTTCAGAGTTTGAAGAAAATGGACTCATGCACAGAACACTATGCATTTTGAAACTCGTTCATCCTGGATTTTTTTTTTTTTTAATCATTTGTATCTCAGAACTTAAAAAAAAATTAGATGTCTTCTGCACGGACTGTGTGAAAGAAGATGCTTTGCATACTTGCTGCACTGCATCAGCATCTTACTAAAAATGTGAAGTGAAGGACTGTTGTACACTGACATGCTTAAATGTATCTGAAAGCACAAGGTGATACTCATTTTTTGATGGTCTTCCCATTTGTGCTGGTTTTGCCTCTTTGACATCTGTCATCAGTATTGAGAGGGTGAGAAATGAATGTAACAGGTATAAGTAACGTTGAAAAAAACTTAATAGCTTTGCTATGATCACCATTGTTCCAGAGCACTATCAGATTCATTCTAATGACCAGAAGTGGTTGTTTAAAGTACAACCGTGGGAAAGAAATCTTAAATGAAAAAAGCATCTCATTATAGGCATTCTTGCCTCATTTTACTGGGCCATGTTTATGTTTCTTGGTACTCATAAATACATGTATTTTTTTCCCAGATCTCTTTCCCCAAGTTGCTGTTATAAAAGTATTCTGCTGAGTGTGGATGCATTTATACTCATTAAAGCAGATCTGGAGTCTGAAGTAGCTAAAAGCAGCTATAAAACTGAGAAATACATTCATAGCTGCAGAAACCGTGATAGGTAGAGGACTTTACTTTTGGTTTTTGTTTTGTTTTTTGGTGTTAAAGAGAAGAGATTTTAATTACAAAGAAAATTCCAATAAATTGTGCAGAAATACTGGTTTCTACACCATCCTAAAGAAAAAGTTATGAGGGATTTTTGGAATAGGAAAACATTTTTTAAAGTTGGGATTTAAAATTGTAAAAATGACCAGAGTGTCAAAGTTCTAGTAGAACTCATTTTGTGCAATGAACATGAGGAAAGACTACTGTATAGTTTTTTTTTTTTCCTTTGTTTTTTTTTTCTTTTAAATGAAGAAAAGCTTTGCTTAAGGGTTGCATACTTTTATTGGAGTAAATCTGAATGATCCTACTCCTTTGGAGTAAAACTAGTGCTTACCATTTCCAATTGTATTTAGCTTCTGGTTGGAATTTGAAGAAAATGAAAACCTAAATAAAATAGGTGAAAGTTCCCTGACTATTCAGGTGAATACACAAAGCTTGAAGTGGTAACTTTATTATCCCAAGTCACTGAGTAGATGTTACTGACCCTCTTAGGGGATTATTTTATGGTCCATAACTGAACAATTAAGAAAAACCCTGGCAATTTGTAATTTCAACAAGAATAGAAATCAAAGATATTTGGTTAGCTTTCAAAAGTTCATAGTCTGCCGTTACACTTGCTTCATGAAAAAAAAAAACACCATTCTTAATTTCAAAGTGCATTCACATGTTCTCTGATCAGTTAAAAGTTAGAATCCATTTGAAATAACACTTTGAATTAGGTTCGTATCTTAACCTGTTAATTCTGAATAGAAACAGATGCAGAGGTTAGTAATTTGCCCAAGCTTGCATCCTAAGAGTGAAAGATTTAAATTAGACTGTTGATCTCCAGAGCCCTAGGCCTTAATCATATGTTAAGTTACACTTGTTCAACATAGTAGGCAATTCAGCAGTCATTTTATTTTGGAATAAATACAGAAAGTTCCTGTGTAACCAGTACTCCATTTTATCATCTTGCCATATTTGTTTTCTCTTTTGTGTATATATTTGTGATCATTAACATTTTGAGTTATTTTGGTTGTTGGTCAAGGTGTTATGCATAGTAAAATCACCAATCTCAAGAAATGTAGCACTGATATACTTTACCATCCATATTCTTGTTTTGCTGTCAGTATTTTTGATAGTTTTAAATCCCCTTTATGTTACAAGGTAATTGCATTTGGTTGCCATAGCCTTGGTGTCCTTTTAGCACAGTGACTTGGCCTCCTTTGTTCATGGTCTTGGTTTTGACTTTCACATAAACTGTGGTATGTTTTGCCATTGACATAGTTTGCCTGTGGCTAGATGACAGGCCTGTGTCCTCCTCCATTTGGTATCTGGAGGCACACATCTGTCTCTTGGTGGTGTTGACTTCAGTGCTTTCCCACTTCTGCATTGTGTGCTCACTACTTGCGACCTATGTGGAGTTATGCAAATGATCCTCCTAGCACTTCACCTCTGATTCTTGCTGCCAAACCAAGTTGATCTTATGAAGGTTCCAAGAGGTGATTTTTCTAAATCTACCCTCCCTCCATGTTTTCCATTGTTTTATTGTAAGGAGCCTCTGCCATTATTGTCCAAAGCTATGGACTCAAACTCCTAAACCCCATGCACAGTTTGTGACTGCCTCTTATTTTCTTGAATAATCCTTACTTTCAGGTTAAGATCTTGGGACATGTGTTTTCCCAGCACCAGAATCAGTTATTCTCCAAGGAGCCACAGGTTCCTTTTAGTAGGAAGCACTGGCAATGGAGACCCAGGTCTTTAGCCTGCTCACTGCCAGCAGGGAGTCTGTGTCCTATGAACAGATCAGCATGCATTCCAGTACAGGAAAAGGATAGCCAGCTTGACTGTTTGCTGATTTAAAGTGCTTCTTTTCCATCTTTAGTCATGAAATGTTCCCTAAGACCAATGTAGAAATCAAATATTAGGGTGCCATAGTACACAGAACTTTTGAGAAATAGACTGAGTTTTGTGACCTAGGGATATTACTATAGACAGGGAGATCCAAAGGGGCTGATAGTATGTTTTTTTCCCCTTTTATAAAAAAAAAAGTTGCCAGCCCTATAATAAATTATCAGAGAGAACTATATGGACCATTTCCTATCTTGCTAATGTCTTTGCTTCAATCTTAACTATTTAAGGCCATGCAGTATGATAATTTAATTTTTCCAATCCAGAGTTCACCTATTTTGAAATTCCATAATCCCACATAAAAAAAAAGGCATTTTACAGTTGGGGAAGACCTAACTCCACAATGTGTCCCATTAAAACCACACCCTCCTAAGTGATGGTACTAGGAGGTGGGATCTTTAGTGGGTACAGCTATGGTGCCCTTTTAAGAAACCCTGGAGAGCTGCCTTCTGTACCACATTGAGAATATAGCTAGAAGACACTAAATCAGGAAGCAAGCCCTCACTGGAAAACCTGCTGGACTGTTGACTGGACTCTCAGCCTCTAGAATGGTAAGAAATTTCTGCCTATGAGCTACTTAGCCTATAGTGTGTTACAGAAGCCCAAACAGATGCGACACCATTAATTTTTCTCACTTAGCTGAATATTAGACTTTAATCTTGCCTTCAAGTAGCTCTGCTTGCTTCTTTGCTTTGAGCTAACTTTTTAAATACAATTATCATGCATATGAATAAAAAATTCTGAAGATGTTTAAAATGAAAAACCAAGACAACCCCAGCTTTACCCTACTTGGTCTCTAGGTCTTTCACCCAAAGAAAATGTCTTAAGCTACTTTGTGGTTCTGATAATTTATTTTGAAAAATTTGTTCAAGTTCACACTTGGTGTTCACTGTTGGGTATCTTCGGGCACCTGCGGGTCTCTAGTTTCCCAGGTGTTTCTTATGCCTGCCTTGTGCTATTAATTTTCCTGTGGCCTTGTTGGTCAGATCCACAGAAGCAAATGCAAGTGTTCTTCCTTGCTTCAGAATTTGTGCTGTAATCACTATTTCTTCTCCTATTTTAGCAGGTGACATGTACCTTAAAAGGAAACAAATTTAGTTAATAGCAAATAATTTTTAAAAAGGAAAATTTGTGACAAGCTCATAACAACCTTCCTGTGTAACTTTACTCCTAATAGTTTAGGAATAATTGCTAAGCTTTCTGTGCTATCAAGTTTGAATGGCTGCTACCTAAGCAGGTTCTATCATACTCATTCCTTAATCCACACCTTTCTTCTCCCATAAATATTGAGGATGTTCTTGCCCTATTTTTCCTTTAAGTTTTTTACTTCATACTTATTCAGGCTAATGAAAGATTTCCTCTAGCTTTCATTCCATCTGCGTAATTTCCTATGTGAAATATCAATTGGTGTCTACATCTTATATTTAGCTTTTAAAATGTAGAGTTAATATAAGAACTACAAGGAATAAACAAGGACCTTACAGTCCTGGTAATGAAGTATGATTAATTATGGCTTGGCATCCATGAGGGATCAGTGCCTGTACCCTTAAGATACCAAAATCCATGAGTGCTCACGTCCATATATAACAGGTACATAGCTGTAAACCTCTTGATGGCTTAGGGTACCTAATACATGCAAATGYCACGTAATAGGTTGTTGCAGTATATTGTTTAGGGAACAGCGACAAGAGAAAGGTCTGCATGTGTCCAGTACAGATAGTTTTAAACGTTTTTCCAGCTGAGGCTGGCTGAATCTGCAGGGGACCTGTGACAGGCTGGCTACACAGTTCCTGAAATACACTACCTTCCCAGTTGTGATGACAAGTTCCTTTAATTCAATTATTGTAGTTCCCTAAAAAATAGGGTTGAGGGCCCTGGTAAAGCTAATGTTTTTAAAGGGAAACCCTTACAATTTACTTTCGTGTGTCTGGGTTTTTATAGAACAAGGAGCTGTAGAAGAGACTACATGTTTTTGCCAAATTCAAAACAAAGTCTTACGTGTTTGTGGCTGGGAAGTATAAGAAAGTTGAGAGTTCATTGCTGGAAAAAACAAGCTAGTCTTGAATTCATGATCTCAATTTAAAGAAATGAAAACGGAGTGCTTAGTAGTAATTTACTGTTTTAATTATTTCCCCTAAACTTCTATAAATTAAGAGCTCTGGCTACTAGCCATTAATTTAAATGAAACTAAGTGAAGGCAAGCAACTCCTTGTAAGGCTGGATCAGCAAGCATTAGTCCTGGGGGATCTGGAAACTGACATTTCAACAGTGCTCGTACCTTAGAATTTCTTCTTTCATTGTCCTGCAATGCCAGTTTTCTACCAGTCATGGTCTAAAACAGACATCCTTGGTTTGTGTAATGTAGAACTTAATTTGGTATCGTGTTTAGTGGTAGTATGAGAATGATTCATGAAGAAGTGTTCAGTGACTACTTTTGAAATACCTACAACCTTTGAGACTATGTCCTACTTTAGTTTCAAGTGAATCAATTTTTAAAGTTTAGGCAGCTCTGGATGGTGTTCAAGGCTTCTGACCACACATACCCAGAAGGCCAGAGCTGTCTGCCTTGTTAAAACTCTATAGAGTTGAGAAAGCCACAATATCTTAGAAGATTATAAAATGCAGTGCTGGTCTGATTTTTTTTTTTTTTTTAGTTGTAGATGGAAACAATGACTTTATTTCATTTATCTGCATGTGGTGCCAGGGATCGAACCCAGTGTCTCATGCTTACTAGCTCTGAAGATCTCTGTTTTAATAAAACACTATGGAAAAGCACTGTCAGCAACTGGCCTCCCCCCCCCCCGCCCCGCCCCATGGAGAAGGACTGCCGAACCCATTCACAGGGAAAGCCTTTTTTTCCCTGCACATCTTAATTTCACAAGAACACTAGTCTGCATCTTGTCCTGTCGCTTGCTTATTGCACCCTCAACTTATCCCCATAATAAAGGCAAATTAACTTGAGTCATAAGGAAACTAATAAAAGACATAAATTACTTAAGACCCAATAACCTACTTATTTCCATTACTTTTATGTCTGGTGGACATTGGCTTTCACCCTAATACCTGCCTTTCTTCTCAATACATTTTCTGTTGCTTCAGTAGAGAAAGCCCAGTTGTCTTCAAACTATCCTGGGCCCTGCTCTTTATTGAACAGGACTGACATTACTAGTTCATGTTGGAAAACTGAATGTTTCACATTTGGTAGCTGGGTCCCTGAAGGCATTTTCACAACATGGAGTGACAGACATCTAGGGCCTGCTTCTCTGGTTCTGCTGTGCAGGTTTCAGGTCATGAGATCCAGGATTGCTGCTGACACTATAGTTCACCTCATGACAAGCTCACCACACACATGTGGAAGGTTCAACTTTGCTTTTAATTTTATTCAGATTTTTCTTTATGTATGTACTCAATACATATAAAAATGTTTGCAGCAATACCAGTAGTACTTTAAGGACTGTATGAAACAAACCGTTGAGTGTGTCACTTTTTTCCCCACTAGGAGAATATTAGAAGTTGTGTGCTGTTTGGATGTTTGGGGTCATTTACCTTTGACTATTGACTGTACAGCTGGCCCTCTCTGTCTGTAGCTTCCCCACCCTCAGACTTAACCACCTGTGGATTGAAGGTGTTTGAAGAAAAAGTTGTGTCTGTACTGAACACACATCTTATTTCCCAAACAATACAGCACAACAACTATTTACATGCCATTTTGCATTTATTTAGGTCTTATAAGTGATCTAGAGATGATTCGGAATGCATGGAAACGTATAGATTATACATAAAGTTGTCATTTTTATTTTTTCTAATATGAGGGATTGAACCCAGGGGAGCTTTACCACTGAGCTACCTCCCAGCCCTTTTTAGTTTTTGAGACAGTGTCTTGCTAAGTTGCCACGGTTGGTCTCAAACGTGCCATCCCTCCTGCCTTAGCCTCTGAGTAGCTGGGATTATAGTCGTGTGCCACTGTGTCCAAATAAAAATGACTTTTCATATGAGGGATCTGAGCAGAGTCCTGGAACCAATCTCAAAACATCAAGGTAACTATACTTGAAATTAATTGTGTTTTAGTTCTAGTTTTTAAGGCYACATAACATTTTAGGGAAAATCTCTAGTTGCGTTTAACTGAATTTCATACTTCATTAGTATTACAAACAGTGTCTTAATGGTTTGAAGTGATTTATCAAAGCAAAAGGCCTCTGGGGTAGTTTGTATACGTACGTTATGTTCATGTCAACGCTGACTCCAGGCAGACCCCTTTCTGAGCACAGCAAAGCCATAGTTGATATGCTGTCTATTAAGGTGGCTGTCAAACCACCATGGAGTGTGCCCATTTTATTAGCATGCTGCTCTTCTACTTTCATTTCACAAATCACTTTCTCAGGAGCAGCAGAGACGAGAGTCACCTAAATGTGTTTAAAAAAAAAAAAGTGGACATTCATTCTGTGGTATACGAAAAATTTAAAAACAATCACTGGATTAAACTGAATCTCCTCCAAAAAAGACTGTCTCAGGAATTCAATTTGTCAATCTATGATATAAATAAATACTTGTGCAAGTTGTCTTTAAAGAAAAAGGTGGGTGGGGATGTGGCTCAAATGGTAGTGCATTCACCTGGCATGCGCAAGGCACTGGGTTTGATCCTCAGCACCACATAAAAATTAAAAAGTAAAGATATTGTGTCCACCTAAAACAAAAAAAATAAAAAAAATTTTAAAAAGAAAAAGTATGTTGAGTGAATAGTTTCTGCTAATCTTCACGCCTTCATAATTCAAACATTAAGGCTAAACTTTTCATCCTTATGTGGAACACCTGACTTCTCTTAATGGTCTGATTTTTGCATCAACCAAGCCACCTGGTACCTGTGATCTTTCAATAACACATTTTTAGTTAGGTGTTCCTTAATTTTTGCACAAGCAGGGTGATTTTCAAATGACTTAATCGTTCGAAACAACCTGAAAGTCAAGCTGGAAGAAATTCAGTAATTTAATGAGTTTTAGAAGCTTATTCCACATACCCATTTTAATATAAAAGTTTAACAGTAGAACCCAACCAAATTAAATGACTGCTTTTTATGTCCTATCCTACATAAAGCACCACAATGAAAAGGTGTTACCAAAGAGCATGATGCCATAAAGAGGTCCTTGTTGCCTTGCTTGGCTTTTCATCACTGACTGTAAGCAGATAATGTAGCACAGACATTCCTCTCTACCCATGAAAACTTTTTGGTGTTGGGATCACTGTTTTCAAACTTTTTAAGGACTTTTTTGGGGTGTGCAAAAGCTGCTAAACCCCTTGTTGAATTTTTGGGGGTTCTTTTTATTCTGCAGTTTTCTTCTCACTTCTTCAGCTATGCCTTTACTAGGCAACAGGAAGTTTTTAGCACTATTATGAACTCTTGGGACCATCAGTATGTGCTACTGCTGTTGAATGAAATGTCATGTGACAGGGGACCAGACTATAATAAGGAAGGGTAACTGCCATTTAGGTATTATATTCTTTATGGGTTATTTTCAAGACCAGCAATATATGACACACATAACTTCATGTCCCTTTAGTTACTCTTCTGGAGACACACAGAAGCCTTTCTGACTCCCTCCAGGAAGATATGATTCAACTTTACTGGTCTTGCTGTGTATTCTATAAGAGGACATGAAGGAAGACAAACAAATCATTCCAAACAATACCGTGTCATGTTTTACACAACAGATAAATGGAAAATGTTTACCGCAGTAAGTGGTCTAGCCACAAGATGTCCTCATAAACTAATACCATACACCAAGGTAGAACAAGGAGGAAACAGTCTTCAACCATTTCTACTTTATTTTTAGCAGCATTAGGGATTGAACCCAGGCCTCATGCATGATAGGGAGGTGCCCCAGCACTACGTGGGTCTTGAAGTCTGGCACTGGCAACAACAAATGAGATTGAATCCCTGTTCTCAGAGGGTTGGGTCTAAATAACAGCAAATACATAAAACACTGCAACGGAGGAACTTATTGCAGAATGAGTCCTGTTTCTTGAAGTAAAGATATCTAACATTAGTAAGGTCCGCCAGCCTTTGTTTTCTTTCAAGATATCTCATTTATACACGTATGTTCTGGGGAAGAGGCATTAACCAAGGCTTCTGGGAGAACACTGGAATCCTGGCAGGCAGGAGCCAGGTAAAGGGGGAAACCAGGAAGTCAGGGAATACAAATGAGAGCCTCAGACACCAAGCGGTTTAGTGTCTTTGAGGCCCCTGTGCCAGCAGAGCTTTGTTCTGAGAGTTCATTTGCTCTCTTGACTGCTGGGATGACTAGTGAAATAACTGACCGTCTTTCATTTTCTCCTGTAGGGTTCAGTGTAAAATTTTCTTTTTCTCAGCTAAAGGCCAAAGAACATGCCAACACTCAAAACTAGTTTAAAATTTACATTAAATGGAAACGATTTTATACTGGTTAGTCTGACATGGCAAAGACATGCTTTCATTATTGCCAATGCTTGTTTCCCTAAGTAAAATAGAGGGATTAAATGGACAACGAAGGAATGTCCTACCCAGCCCCCAGAGGTAAAAAGTAGACTTGTGGGGACAGGCTCACGCAGAGCTCTTTCACGAAGAAAGGGGTTGAGAGAGGAAACTGGAAAGAAAAAACTCAGCCTGTCAGTTTAAGGTGCAACACTTGTCTTCAGTTAGCAGCTGAACAACTGTTAGAGGACAGGTGAGCAAGTTTACATGCATCGTCTCAGTCCTGCAAATCTGTGAAGTAGACCCCTTCATCATCTGTCTTACAGATCACAAAGCAGCTAGTGATGCCTACCCTTCAGTCTCAGGCTAGCCTCCCCTCTCTGCTGCTGGTCCTGACTGACTCATCATGTGGGAAGCAGTGGAGCCTTGGCATAGTTCACCTTGGAAATTACTGCACAAGCAGCCAGCTGCCCTTCTCTCACGGCTGCCAGTGTGCTGCTGCTCTGCACCTCATGCATCCACATGAGTTTACCTTCCCCGTCTCCAACATCTGGACCCAAGTGCCATTACAAACAGACACACTCCAGGTGACAGTTCCCCTTTCTCGCTTTTTCAGTAAGGAGAGTGAGAAGGGCTGCCTGATGACAGCCATGAAGATCTCTTTTTATGGCACTGGGGATGGAACCCAGGGCCTTGTGCATGCTAGACTGGCACTCCACCCGAGCCATGCCCCCGGCCCAAGATGCTGTTAATCCCTTACACAAAGGTCTGTCCAGAACTGAGAATTCTGCTCAGGCCTTGGCATTTCGGATCATCCTGAGAGTCGCCACCATCACTGCGACTGCTGCTGCTGTGCACAGCTCATGGCCACCACCTCTGGCCAACAGAGAAGGACTACAGCTCTGCTCAGCAAGGGTGTCTGTGTGTGATGGGCCTCAAGGACAGGAATGTGGCATGAGAATGTGTGTGTAAAAACGAGAGAAGAGACTGAACAGGAAAGACCACACAAAGCCCAGAGAGCAGGTGGTCTCAGCAGGTGAGAATTTTGTGTGCATCTGTGAAAGGGGCCATTCTCAAGCAATGTGCCCTGACGATGGATGGATGCTGATTTTTGCATGGCACTGCAGATGCCAGGAGGTGTGTCTGAGGACAATGCACGAATGTGCCTTCACACAGGAAGTGGAAGGTGTCAAGACAGGGGCGGCTGTGTGACTGGGTGGCTACAGCTACAAGAATAGATGGAGGGGCTGGGGATGTGGCTCAAGCGGTAGCGCGCTCGCCTGGCATGCGTGCGGCCCGGGTTGGATCCTCAGCACCACATACAAACAAAGATGTTGTGTCCGCCGAGAACTAAAAAATAAATATTAAGAATTCTCATTCTCTCTCTCTCTCTCTCTCTCTCTCTCCCTCCCCCCCCTCTCTCACTCTCTCTTAAAAAAAAAAAAAAAAAAGAATAGATGGAGTCAGGCTAAGGGAACTCTATGAGGGCACATGCTACAAAACCACTGTGTCCAGCCATGCCACCATCAGCCCAGAACGGGCTTCAAAATAAATGTATGTCTTCATTTAATCACTCTGATGGCTGGAGCTTAATGGTTAAGAGCACCACATACAAATAAAGATGTTGTTTCCGCCGAAAATTAAATAAATAAATATTAAAAAATAAATAAAATATTTTAAAAAAAAGAGTAGATTTAGGCAAAACTCACAACTGAGGTATGCCCGTCTTTGAAGTGGAGATAATAATCGCAGCACTGCCTTCACAGAGCTCCGTAAAGCTTAAAATTCTCCCTGAGGAATTCCTTAAAGCCAATTTGCAGGACTGTAAATGCATGTAAATACACCACTCCTCTGGGTCTTCTCCTCCTCCATTCACCACTCCACGTTCTCCTTTGCTGGCTCTCATTCTGTAGGGAGTCTTGGTGCCAATTAATTACTAGGAGTGTCCGGGGTTAATTTATCGTTGACTTTGCACAATGATCTCAGTGAACACTTGGCACCCAAGTCACTCAGGATACGGGACGAGCTTTCTACACAGTTGCCGGCAGGAGCCACGGAACAGAACACTTGGGTGTAGATCCCTTAGTGGCTCTAAGACCTTAGGGAAGCTAAGCTTCTGGTTTCTCATGTGTAAAGCAGTCATAGCAAGAAGAGCATACCACACAGGTTCAAAAGAAACCATGTAGGGAAAATAAAGGATGAATGTGGGGTCTGGTCAGAGTGCTCAATAAGTATCCACGACTACCCCAAGTGCTAGGACTATGGAAATGACTTCTGCCTGCCTGCTCTTATCCTTGCAATTGGAACTTTCACTTTGCTTAGTTTATTATTTTTTTTTCACTTTGCTTAGCTTAAAACACTTGAACAAACGGAATATCCAAGGAAACTATGGAGACAACTATGATCCTTTCAGATCTCCCAACTTGTACTTGGTGGTTCATGTCCTTTTTGAGAAGACCTCCAAGTCTGCAAGTGTAAAAGTCCCAGCCACCAGACAGACAGCAGAGTCCCCTGATATTAACAATCACAATGTATATAACATGAACTCTGGGAAGTGGAGACAAGTGGTAAACCTAGTAAGTGTCCCTTGTCATGAGCAATTCAGATAATGAGAAAAGCCATCCTGAATCCCAGTCACTGCCTTAGGCTGCTCACTGATTCCACTCTGGTCCCAGCCACTGCCGTCCCTCTTTTAAGTTGTTGCAATTGCGTCCCAACTTATCTTCCTACTTCTGCCCTTACCCCCTTATGTCTATTCTCAATATTAGCAACAAGAGTGCTTTTTTAAAAATACAAATCAAATTATGTCACTCTTAAAACCTTTCTAATGGAGAGTCATTTCATTAAAGAAAAAGTCAAGTCCCTTTTGTGACCTGCAAAGTCTTAACTTGATCTCATCTCCTCTGCAACTTGCCCCTCGCGAGTTTCCAGTGCTCCCTCAAGTTAGCCTCCCTGAGA